GCCCGGCCCGGGCGGTGGGTGAGGAAACCTCCCGCCGGGTGTGGGTCGGACCCGTCGGGCCGGCCGCCTTCACGCGTCTCCGGCGGCGAGGCGCCGGCCCGGGGCGCGGGGGGGAGCGGCGGGGCGGCCCAGGCCTGTGCGGGAAGGACTCCGGGGTGTCGGTGCCCCCGAAGGGCAGCGGCGGGGGAGGGATGACAAGTCAAAACGCCGAGCGGGAGAGGAGTCCCCGGGCCCCGCTCCCAGCGGGCGGCTCTGCCTCCCCTCCGTTCCTGCGCTGGTGGGTCTTCCACGGCAGGAACAGACAGACAGAGACACTTTTCAGGCCTCAAGAGGCGCCTCCCGTTCTCCGTGGGATCCACCTGCTGCTTCCCAGCTGTTTGCCAGCCCTGTGGGCCCTTCCCTGGGACGGGCTGGTTTCCCCTCGCTTCCTCTAGCCCCTCAGATTGGGGGGTTTGGGTATGGTGTGCTGGGCAAGGCGTTGGGATTGGATTTAATGAAAGCAGTGCTGTATCTGTGCTTCTGCTGTCGACCACAAACTTCTGTGCCGTGGCAGCGTGTCTTTTCCACCTCTTTTTCCTACTTCACGCACCCTCTTACCCCCCAGCCCCACCGCCACGGCTGGAAACCACAGTGGCCTCGCTGTGCAGTTTCAGGTTTGGTAATGCCCACGTCACTTAAAATTAAGTTCACTTAAGGCACTATTCAAAGTGGATTTTTACTGTGTTTCAAAGAGTGGAATCGGTATTAAAATGTGCAGATGTTCATTTCTGATCCTTAGGAAAGCAGAGCTTCCTCAAAAGCTTTTTTCTCCTACTTCCAGCTGTCCCTTACCAGCCAGGGGGTCTGAGTGGTGGGTGCCACAGAAACCTCCGTTTGCTCCATGTCAATGTGGACTATAAGCAAAATTATCCCAGGGAATGTGTGTGATGAGTGTAAGGAATGGAAATAGGTCATTTGAAAAAGACCTTTATGTTTCAAATCCAGCTGCTGAGGTATTGTTATCGACAGGCTCACGAGGTGGCTCGGTCACTGTAGCACAGTGACAAGGAGGAAGGTTTCTGAAGCAGAGCATTGCTGTCCCTGGGACAGGACTCCTCTTGGGGTTGTTCTTTAGCCACTGACTCTGGTACCAGAGTCTCAGGAAGACACCAGCACAGTTGTCCTTGGAGCTTAGGGTGGGCATTCTTTCCATAAACAGTACAAAACAGGTAGTTCATCCACCCTTACAAAAATTTGTTCAACTTTTTTTTTTTTTTTTTAAGTTATAGCCTGTCCATTTACTTTCTTTAATTTACTAACACCCACACCCTATGGTTATCGTAGGGTTATCGTAGTTATCACAGGTGCCACACTACAGCAGGCAAAATAAAGGTATCTCTGTAATACAGTGACTGCAGTCATTTGTAAGGAGTGTGGTTAGAATGTAGCATTATGTGTGTTTATATGTATAGTTTATATATGTGTATATATACACATAGCTCGGACTCGGTTGTCTCTTTGAGGCTTGTTTTTCCTCCTTTCTTTGGAAGTGAGAAGCTTTTATGCTCTGATAGAATGTGTCCAGGAGAACCAGACTCTAAGGTGTTACTCTCTTGAAGAAACACGTGTTTTCTGTGGCTGTTTCCACAAAGGAACATTTTCCCACCCGGAGTAAGGATGCAGCTACTGAACTCGTTCTGAGGGGTTATGGTTTTGGTGCTGGAGCTGCACCTAGGGAGAAGGATTGGTCCAGCAAAAAAAAAAAAAAAAAAAGCTATTTTACTTTGCTTTGACTTGCTCTTCTTGTATAAACACCAGCGATCACAGAACTGAGCCTGGGAGGTGGTTGCTTTGGCTGTAGGAGCCTTGTTTGCCAGGGCCCACCTCGGGGAAGTACCCACGTAAGGAAAATGACATGGTCTAAAATAGAACAAAGGGGTTTCTGACCATGAGTTTGTCTTCAGGCTGGCATTTCACACCTTGGTATGTGTTTTATGTATTCAGATTCTGGAGTTTATTTTGGAAGATTTTTTTAGTAATGAACTTAAAATAACTGTTGAGGAAACTTTAACTTCCCTGGATTTAAAATTAGTGTCTTCATCAGTAACAAGTCTGCTCTCTGGGGTTACCCAGCACACACGTTTCCCAGAAGACAGGCCTCCTGCCAAGGAATTTTCAGCTATTTACTCTTGGGCAATTCTGTGCTTAACAAAGCCAAAACTGGGAAATGTGCTGTTTCCATCCAGGCGACGGCCTCTGTCACGGTGCAGTCATTTCTCTTAGATGGGGAGCACTGGGGTTCAGCTGGGACTCTCACTGCTGGAGTACTGCTCACCTTCCAGTCACCTCTTCTGGGTTTTGGGGCAATAACGTGTATTATTGTATGTTTAAGGTACTTCTGATGAGGTGTATGAAGTCATAAGAGAGCTGCTCTCACCAAGGGTTTGTTTACATGAAATGGGAGATGTTTTCAATAGTCCAGTTCTAGTGCGTGTAAATGGGTATTGTTGAAATACTTCAAAGTTTTAAGCTACTTCAGCGGATGTCTTTGAGTTGTATATTGAATTACTTAGTATCAGTGCAAAGATACAACACCAAACCAGGTTTGTTTTCCTCCCAGAGAGTTCACTGGAATCTATAAAACAGAGAAGCAGGTGTATATTTGGATGCACCCCCCCTATCCTGAGATTAAAAAAAAAAAAAAAAAGCCTGCCCAGTAGGCAGTTCTGTCCAACCATGTTCTGTTGGTGTTTAAAAACAAAAACAATCTTGGAGAGGAGCGCGGCAGCGTTCAGCGTAGCGGGGAGACCCCCGTATCTGCACATGGCAGGTTGTGGTGTCTCCTCAGATGGCGGTGCCTGGCGGGGTGCCCTCCTGGGCGCGTTCCTCGGGTGGCTCTGGGCTGGTGTCCCCTGTCCCAGCAGCGCTCTTCTCCCGGGGGGGCTGCAGGCAGGATCCTGGCAGTCGATGGTCCCTTTGGATGAAGCCGAGATCTTAAATTGCACCCCAGAACTCAGAGGAGGTTGGGCCGGGCGGTCGCTGCCCTCCAGAGGGTCTGCTATTTCTGTGGTGCTGCCTCATCCCAGTGCCCCGGGCTGGAGCTGCCACCGTCACTGTCCCCGCGCGGGCAGGGACGTGTTGGCTGTGGGGACGGAGTGTGTCTGTCATTGTGGGGCAGCTCTGGCCCACACACCCTCTGTTACGTCTCCCACACGTACCAGCCACACGCGGTGCTTCCCTTTAATCCCTCCAGCACCTTTCCCTCATGGACACCCTGCCCCCCCTCCTGTAAAATACAGATTTTAAAATCTGTGAAGGTCAGGGCAAGGGAAAAGGTACTGAGCTATGTACAGCAGTCATGAAAAGAGCTATTTAAGAAGTGGGTGTAGCAAACTCTTAATTAGATATGAGCTAAAATAATGCTGCTCCAAATTCAAGTCAGCTCCTTGGAATGTGGCAGGGAAGCTGAAGCCCTCACAAGTGCCAATTAACGTGAGTGAGCTGGGAGAGGAGCTCGGTGTCTTCCCTGCTTGGATCAGCACATTGCACTGAAATACCCAGTTCTGCCAGTGCCTTTTATTTTGCCGTGCCAGGAGCAACCCTTAGAAATTAATAAATAGCTTGCGTGACTGTTGTGAGGTGGAAATCACAGAATTCAGGATTTAGGGTTCTTAGGCTTACCTGCCGTGCTGAACTGACAGGGCCTGTGATTTTTGTGCAAACTAGGTCTTGTCAAATGTACTCTCTGAAGCTTGTGAGTCGAGCTGAATCAGGTAACTAAAATTAGATTCCTGTGAGATTTGTTGGCTTTGACTTGTGGCGTGTGGTACCCGGCGTGTAACTCGGATCCCTTCTAGAGCACTGATTTCCATGTGGGGGCCATTCCCTTGCCTTGGGAGGGGCACTGGGAGAAGAATATACGTTCCCAGAGCCCTTCCCCAGGGAACTGTCGGGAAGAGGCTGTGGAATGGCTGCTGGCAGGGGCTGTGGGCACATCCTGGGTCAGCACTGCAGGAAACGAGGCTTCCTCCGTACTGGGGTGAACCTCACGCAGCGTTTTGGAGCAGGGATCATCCTCCTGGGTGCGGGACCAGCAGGAGTCCTGTCCGTGCTGGAGGTGAGCGCTGGAGGCAGGGTCACCACAGACACCCCCACTCAGCCTGTTGGGAAACACACTGAGAACCTGACGGCTGTTGGAGAATGTTCAAGTGATTTGTTTGTGGGAAGGGTCCTTTGATAGCTCCTTCGCTTATTTAAAAAGCAGTAGCCGCCGGTCTAAAACTGGTCCAAAATGGGATGTTGTGGCTGTTAAAAGTTGGTATTCCTGCCCAAAGCTGGGCCCCTGGCGTTCTCCTCTGGCTGCTCAGTGCCTCTGTCCCTGCTCCGACAGCGCAGCCCCAGCTGCCGTGTGCGGGTGAGTGTCCCCCGTGTCTCCTGGCTCCAGGGACACCCCTGGAACGCGTGTCCCAGCAGAGGGGAGAGGGACACGCCGGTGTCGCTCTGCTGGGGGGACAGTGGGCCTCTTGGTGACAGTGTCAGCCGATTTGCTGATTCCACTGTTAGTGATTTTGCTGGTGTAACCACATTGACCTGAGCTTTCTGGTTCCTTGAATAAAAGTGGCCTCTTTCCCGGTAAGGACTGGTCCTGAGCATCCCCAAAGCCTCGTGCAGCTCTCAGGGCTCCCTCCCGCCATCGCTGCGGTCAGTGGGTGTGTGAGCGCTGACACGGGCGGTGTGTAAGCTCCTGTTCTTTGTGTTTGTTACCTATCAAGTAGGAAGTGTCTGTAAAAGAATCATAATTAAAACTTATTTTGTAGGATAACTGGGATGATGAGGAGGAAGAGGAGGAAGTAAAGGAAACAGAGGTAAAACAAGGTGAGCCTTAAAAGCAATACACGGCTCTGTGTGCGGCGTCAGAGCAGACTCTGGCTTTGTCTGGGGGGGATGTGAAGAATCAAACCCACTGCCCAAACAGGGACAGTTTGGTTCTGACAAGCACCTCTTTTAACTGCCTCTGAGTTCAGGTCCCTGTGATCGAGCTCCACGGCTTTGTCTTTCATTGGTGTTTCTGTAGTTGCTGGAAAAAAAAAATAATCGGTAGACCTCTTGAGAGCTGTATTGTTCAATGTTTTACAGAACCGAAGGTTTCAGAAAAAAAGAAAATAGCAGAAAAAATAAAAGAAAAAGAAAAGCTACAGAAGAAAAAGCAAGAGGAGCTCAAAAAAAGGGTAACTCCTTTTCTTCCGGGTCTCATAAAAGTTAGAGGGCAAGACTGATTATTTTTTTCTTTTTTTTTTTGAGGCTGAACAAGACCTGTAAAGATCTTGACTGTGCTGATAAAACAAACTTAAGTCTTGCCCGTGATAATATCTGGGGGATGATGGCTTTGATTTCCCTGTGATTTAACCAGGTTACTGAGTGCTGCTTAGTGCTGGCTCCTTTGTACGCGCCACATGATAAAACAGGCAGTTGTGAAACTTAGAACTGGGGTGTTTGGGGTGTTTCTTCCTACTTCTTGTAAAATGAACAATTTATTCATGGGGGGCGGGTCGGGTTCGTACACATTTGAGATGCAGTGACTTTGGGCAGAGCTGAGCTGTTCAGTGGCACTGCAGTAACCACGGTTTCTGGGCCCAGCTCTGCTGGTGGGTGAGGGATGTAACGCTCTCCCTCTGCACGTGTGTTACTGCAGTTAGAGGCACCAGAGGAGCACAAAGAGCTCACACCAGAAGAACAGTTAGCAGACAAACTACGACTAAAGAAGTTACAAGAGGAGTCGGACCTGGAGTTAGCAAAAGAAACATTTGGTGAGTGCCCGAGTCCCGCGAGTCGGTGGAGCTGTCACATCCCATCTGCATTGCAAGGACCACAAAAACATCCTTAGAATAGAAGGTGCTTTTTCTTAACGTGTCTTGGTAGGAGGCTGTAGGGAAAAGATGGGTCACCACATTTCCCAACGTATTGGTGCTGCTGGTAAAAAGATGACTGCGTGTAAAAATAAAAACAAAGTGCTGTCTTCTGCTGTTCTGAGGTGCTTTAAACGTGGATTTAATGGGGCTGGGGACAAGTGTGGCACAGCGTAACTCGTGCCTGCTTCGCTTGGGGCAGTCTCTAACGAGCTGGGTGTTGGGAAAGACTTGCCTCTAAGTTGGCGTGAGCTTGTTCCCTGGTGCAGATGCAGTAAACTTAAAGCAGATCCTTCTGGTTTGGGGCTTTGACAGAACTGGATACTGATTCATAGCAGCCTTCTTCAAACATGAAAGCTGTTTCCTTCATTATAGTGAATTACACAGCTTATTACGCAGAGAAAATGCTGCTCCGTGAGTCTTCTGGCAGTACGGTGCCTGGGGGGGATGCACTGAGGGCAGTTCCACAGAACCAGCTGTGTTTGGCACTTATGGGCTTAAGACAAATTCCTTATTTAAGGGAGGGGGCTCCGTGCAGAAGCTGGTTGGAATGAGGGAGCTCTGTCTGGGTCAGTAACTCGGGCTGGTGGCTTCTGTGTGGTTTGACTTCTGGGGGTTGGAGTAGATGATCTCCAGAGGTCCCTTCTAACCTCTGTGATTCTGTGCCAGAAGCCAGAGGGGAGTGAGTGAGAAAAGCTGAGGGTGGGTTTGGGAGAATGTCTGGGGGTGAAGGACAGAAGAGCCCGGTCTCTGGTTCCTCTGGGGATGTCTTTTCCAGATCAAAGCTGATTTTTCTGTTATCTCTTGTCTTTCTGTGCAGGTGTAAATAACACTTATGGAATAGATGCCATGAATCCCTCTTCAAAAGATGACTTTACGGAATTTGGCAAACTACTAAAAGAGAAAATTACACAGTATGAAAAATCATTACATTATGCCAGTTTTTTGGAAGCGTTAGTTCGAGACGTATGTATTTCATGTAAGTTGAGTGAAAGAAAGACATCCTAGAACACACCGCAGCAACGCTGCAGTGACAGAGGTTGAAAACCTGCTGTTACAGGAATTGTTATGTCAGGATTGATCTGTGCAGTCTGTGCCCACTGGTGTCACTGTCTGCACTGGTGTCACTGTACTGGTGTCACTGTCTGCACTGGTGTCACTGCCCAGTACCCGCCTCTATCCCACAAACTCACTGTTTCACATGCAGTGCTTGTACAGGAGTCACTCGTCCTGACAGCAGTTAAAGACAGTCACTTTAAAATGTGTGAATTCTTATGCTGATCTAAATCTTGCATGGCTTTCTTGAAGCTATTTCTAAAATAATAATAATTTAAAAAAAAAAAATTTTGGAGCCAGATAACGTTTGGAAGGAAACTATTATAAAATTGAGACCCTGTAATTCTGGGACTGCAAAATAAATTGTGCTGGAATGCCTCTTCATTCACACTTTGTGTTCACACTTAATTCACAAGCTTTACCTTCCACACGGGTCAGGCTGCTCACCAGCGACTGTCCAAAATGGTCACTGTGATTGTAAGGACCAGAACTACCCAGTCTGTATTTTGCTGATTTAAATCGAGTGATTGCCTGTGCTTATTATTAATGGTTATTTCTGGTTTATAGAGAATTTGATGTTAGATTGTTTAACTGCCTTCTCAGAAAAATATTGCTGAATATTTTTTTTTTTTTTCTTTTCCCTTCCCCTGATGCAGTGGAAATTGATGATTTGAAAAAGATCACGAATACTTTGACAGTACTATGCAGTGAAAAACAAAAACAAGAAAAGGTAAGAGTGGGGCAGGGTCCCGGGCAGGGGCTGAAACAAAAACCCCGGGCGCTGGGGTGGAGTTAGAGCCTCCTCCCTGCGCTGGGAGCGGGAGCTGATGGGCCCGGGGGGGCACAGGCAAAGCCCTGATTGATTTCCCCAGTGGGTACCTGCCTGCTCACCCCCTGGTTTGTGCCATCCTGGGCTCCCGAGGGCTCAGGGTGCCCTGGGGGCAGGAGCTGCCTCGTTCATGTCAATGCAAACCCACCTGTGGAAGTCACCCCAATCCTTGACAAAGTTTGGGGTTTTGAATAGCAGATAACTAGGGGTTTTATGCTGTAAGGAGCAATAACTGCATAGGCAAGGAAGAGTACAGTTTTAAAAGTGGTGTAAGAGTTTAACTGATGCTTATGTGCTGCAAAACACAGTGTTTTCTAGCACGTCTGCTACAGCCCCAGGTGGGGTGGAGTTCAGTGATTTATTGAAATGTTTGATACCAACAGAATGAAGCAGAAAGTACGACTCCCAGTGGGACTCTTTGGGTGTGTTTTACATCAGTTGGGGGCCTGGTCGGGAACAACCGGCCGGGGGTTGTTGGTGTGAGATGGGAAACCCCTGGGACACAGACTGTTGTGGTGACACCTCTGGGGTCCTGTTCCAGCTCCCAGAGCTTCAGCACAAACCAGGCTTTATGCCCCGTGCTGCTGCTCTGGGTCTGGAGCTGGCAAACGGGATCAGCTGCTTTAATCTGAGCTGCACTTTGCACAGAAGCCGGTGACTTATTGACCCAAACAGGTTTGAAAAGCAAAGGAGAGGTGTGCTGCTGAGTTTTATAGCTTCTCTCCTGGCTTTCCATGTAAATTAGTTTGGTCAGCCATGGAGAGCTACAGCTGCATCAGTCCAGGGAGAGCTGCCTGGGAAACGCTCTGTAAAGTTTAAGACTTGAATTTTTTTGCAAGGAAGATACTCAGCCTCTGTGGGGAGAAAAGCCACATGGAATTCCTTAATGAAGTTGGTGATTCCACAAAACTAACCACTAGTACTAAACCACCACTTAGTTCTAGGGGTTTAGCGTCAGGGAAAAATAGGATGAGTGACAAAACACGGGCAGTGACAAAACACAGGTAGTGTGTGACACAGGGAGCTGGGGGGGTTGGACTAGATGGTCTCCAGAGGTCCCTTCCAACCCCTTCTCATTCTGTGATTCTGTGACACCTGAAACTGTCACAACTCCCCCCAAACAGTCACTGGGACTGAGTGCTCAGCAAGTGCTGGTTCCTCAGCCAGGTGGCTGTGCTCTAATTGCACTAATGACAAATGACTGTGCATTTTCAAGTAAACAAATGTGCTCTTTCTATTTTAAGCAGAATAAAGCCAAAAAGAAGAAAAAAGGTGTTGTGCCTGGAGGTGGGTTAAAGGCTACTATGAAAGATGACCTGGCTGATTACGGAGGATACGACGGGGAATACGTACAAGACTTTGAAGACTTCATGTGACATTTATCTCCCTTTCTCTTGTCTTTCTGTTGCCCATAATCCCTTAAACATGTAGCACAACTTTTCTTCCTTTAAATTCTGCCAAATGCTACAATCAGAATTGCAGTATCTCTGTGCTGGGGGTTGAACTCCCCAGGGGTGGGGGCGAAAGCCCCGCTCCCTCTCCCGCCTCGGGGGAGGTAGAATGCAGACACTTAAAGCTACATAAATTGCAGTTAAAACCCCAAATTCTGATAATGGTAACTGTTGCTATTTAATTTTATAGTAACAGCCACTAAATTGGAGATGAATTCAACAGGGCAAAGTATTTCTCCCAGCACAGCTCGTTGACACGGCCTTAACTGTACCCCGGGAAGGGCCCCTGAACAGGAGCAGTTTGCAGCAAGGGCTTGGTGTGCACGTAGAGTTACAGTCGCTTCGTCTTGCGTCACAGCTTGAGGTTTTGGGTACCTTGGGGAGGGGAACTGCTGACTTCAGCCCCGGGGCGCTGCGCCCGGGCACCCACCGCTGGGAGAGACACCCCGACACCACCGGTGGGGCAGAACAAGGGAAAAATCGCTTATTGGAGAAAAAACACCACCAAAAAAGACTTGTTCTTGAGTATGAAGTTTAGTTTCCACTCATCTAAATTTCTACTAATGCAGCTGTATGGGTTGGGTATTCTTTAACAGTTAATTGCCTGGTTTAAGTGTTAAAAAAAAACAAAAAAAACCAAAAAAAACAAACCCAAGACTTCCTTTTGGTCTCTCCTGGGTTGTGGCAGATCTTTCACGACTCAGCCATTTTCTTTCATTTAAAAAAAAAACAACAACAAAAAACTTGCTTAGCAAACTGCAACAGTTACTACAGTTGGGCAAATTGTTATGTTAACAATTATGACATCTGCAATGTTTTATAAAGCAACTAATTTAATAAAAATCACTATTGAGGACTTCACTACAGCTGTCTTTGGAGCAGTTCTTTTAGCATCTTGTAACAGAAACACCTGAGGTGGTGGGATTGTGTAAGAGGCATGTGCTGGGTGCATGGTGCTGGTCCCAGTTTAACCCGTGTTTGTTCCAGGGGGAGGTTTTCATCCGTTAAAATGCCTGTTTGTTATGACCAGACTCTTACAGGTGCTGACGGGGAACAAAATACTTCCAGGGCTGCTGGAATCCAAGCATTTCCATGGTGCAGCAGGTACGTCCACAACGCAGAGCCTTCCAGCTCCTCCCACTGTGAGTGCTCCCAAGGTTTTAAAGGCTCAGGGATGGAAATTCTCAGGAGGATGCTGGCGGGCGGGGGGGGGCTCCTTTCTTGCCAGGAACTTTAAAGCTCAAGCTCAAAGCTTGATTATCATTAGTGAACTTTGACTAATCACAGCCAGCTCAGACTCCTTTGGTCTTATGAGGCTGCCTAGAACTGGAATATTAAATGGGGTTTTCCCAACATGAACTGTTTCACTCAGCAAGGTGCTGTGCCCACCCCTGTACAGCTCAGACAGAGACTCTGCAAGTGAATGTTTGTCACTGGCAGCGGGTGCCAGCCTGAGAGATGGTCACCACCCACAGGGACACTAAGCTAGACATCAGAGTTAGCATCTCTGCTAATTAACTGGTTGCTATGGCAACTGTAGTTTTGCTGGGCTAAAGTTTAGAGATAGTATGATATTGCTTAATTTTACCTAAAAGCTGTCTGTGTGCTGTGCTCGGCTGCCAGCCCTCCCCTTGCGCGGGCGGGAGACGGGGTGGCATTTGTTTTGGGGAGCAAACAGAGGCCGGGGTGAGGGGGTTCCTGCCCCACACGGTGTCCCAGCCTCATCCCCCTCCCCAGTGACACCAGCCCCATGTTCAGAACTTGCCAAAGCACCCGAGCGGCGGAGTCCTCTGTGTGTCAGCTCCTGCCGGGGTGTCGGTACCCCCTCTGCCCCGTGGGACTGGCTGGGCCTGGAAGGCAGTTCCAGTTTCATAACCATTAAGATTGATTTGTGCTTGGTTACCCCTTCTGCTCCAAGGCAGCAGCACAAGGAGTCTGTGCTTTTCAGGGTGTTACAAGAGTATCAGCAAGTGTGAAAACACAACCCAGCCGCTCAGACTGGACTCCAGGAATGGGTTTTCCTCCTAAAACATGTAAAACATAATCTAAATGTATCTAAAACTTTCAAAGGTGCTCACTAATTCTGCTGCTGATTTCATTGTCCGTGTCCAGGATATTCTGCACCTTCTGCTCCAGCCTTTTGTGGCTTTAGATCCCATTCCTGTGGCCATCCATCACCTGCTCCCTGCGGGGAAAGGACTCTGGGGCTCGTCACCAGCCGTGCCAGCCCAGCAGTTTGTAAACAGTAAGATTTATTATACAAAACACAATTTTAGCTTAACACAGTCTCAGCATTTTAAATATTTACACCCGCCACCAGTTCTCTGGAGTAACTCACCCCCAGCAGCAAACCCCGGTGAGCGGGTAACGGATAAAAAGGGCTGAGGAAGGGCAGGAGCCCCTCTCTACGTGGCCAACATGTCACTGAGGCAGCAGCCGCTCTGCGCGTCCTTCAGCAGCGCGGTCACCACGTCGTAGAACTTGTGGTCGTAGGCCAGCCTGTAGGAGGTGTAGATGTCCTCACAGTGGGTGAGCAGTTTCCTCAGGTTTTTCAGAGCAGCGTCGGTAGGTGGGTGCTGTTTGACTCTGAAAATAAGTGTACATATAATTGAAATGGGCTTCACAGACAATTTATAAGAGTTTCTTGCAACGTGCATTTGATTCTCATCCTCTTTAAAAAGGATTTGCTCTGCCCAGTCCCTGCACACTACACGTCGTCACGTGAGAGGCTTCAGCAGCACTAAGACCCCCCTGCACTAAACACCCAGTTCCTCCCCTAAAGCAGCCTCTGGAAAAGGAAGTTCCAGTTTGACCATCCCGGGACTTACTTCTTGGCGATCTCCTCGAAGATGCTGGGCTTCAGTGGCCTCTGCTGTTTGAACTCCTCCAGGTAGGTGAAGTCTCCCTTGGTGATCACCTGCTGGTACAGAACCTCCGCCCAGTCGGGAACGAACTCGTAGGCCTCGGCCACGATGGCCGCCTGCGGGGGGGCAGACGCTGGGGTTAGTGAGGGGGAGAGTTTATCCTCACACAGAGACCTTCCTGCACTTGGAACACTACAAATATTGTGTTTTCTGTTTGGCCCAGCTCTTGATGCTGTTCTTGAGAGGTGTGTGACAGGGAAATACCAGGGTAACAAAGCACTGCAAATCGTTTTCCTTAGCCCCTAAACAAGATGTCGGCTTTAAAAAGCCCTCTTCTTATTTCCAAATTGATAAAGCCATGGATGCCAACGCGGGTTGGATTCCAGGGCTCCAGTGAAGATTCAGGGGAGCTGTGGGACAGCCACGGTCCCGGCTGCCGGTGGCAAAGGGCCGCCGAGAGCATCGCCCTGCAGTGGGATCTCAGCAATTCCTCGGGGCTCGGTGGCCACGTGAGGAGCTGAGCAACACCCGGAGGAGCCAAGGGCCTCGGTACCTGCCAATTAACACAATCCTTCTCAGAACAGCAGGCGAGGAAGGGCACTTGGAACACTACAAATATTGTGTTTTCTGTTTGGCCCAGCTCTTGATGCTGTTCTTGAGAGGTGTGTGACAGGGAAATACCAGGGTAACAAAGCACTGCAAATCGTTTTCCTTAGCCCCTAAACAAGATGTCGGCTTTAAAAAGCCCTCTTCTTATTTCCAAATTGATAAAGCCATGGATGCCAACGCGGGTTGGATTCCAGGGCTCCAGTGAAGATTCAGGGGAGCTGTGGGGCAGCCAAGGTCCCGGCTGCCGGTGGCAAAGGGCCACGAGAGCATCGCCCCGCAGCGGGATCTCAGCAATTCCTCGGGGCTCGGTGGCCACGTGAGGAGCTGAGCAACACTCGGAGGAGCCAAGGGCCTCGGTACCTGCCAATTAACACAATCCTTCTCGGAAGAGCAGGGGAGGAAGCCGAGCTGACCTGGTAGAACCTGGGCAGGGCCAGGATGGCGTCCATGAGGCTCTGCCGGCTGAGGTTGATGACCATGGTGCTCCCGCCCGCGCTCAGGAAGTGCAGCTGCAGCGTGATCAGCTTGGTCAGCCGCCGGCAGCGCAGCGCCTGCCGCACACAGGAGTCCTGGTCACAAATCAGAGACAAACACAGGCTTCTGAAGCACCTTTCTAGGGGAAAGCAAGGAATATTCCTGAGAGCAACAGCGAGTTCAGAGTTGTTGTCCAGTACTTCATCTGTGAGAGCACCCCAGTTTTATCTTCCCTCATATTCCAGTTCTAAATGAAGCTTCACTGACTACACTCTAGTGTAGTTTAGCTTCACTAAACACTCTTTATATTGTTTTATTCTTGCTAGTTAAGCTCATGGTCACCCCTCTGCAGCTGGGGAACCTGATTGTGACCCCAGATGTTACAGTCTGAAGAGGGATCCGTGAACTTGGGGACCACGGCGTGACTGGGACTGGGAACTGGGGGACGCTGCTGCGCTGACGGAGCCAGAGATTCCTCTGCTCCTGGGCCAGGGTTTGGCACCTCCTCCCCGGAGCAGCAGCGTCGCTCTCAGTTCTCCCTCGTGCCCCCAGTGCTGCACAGAAATGGTACAACTCCAGCTCCTTTACCTTGGAATAGCTCTCGGCCGCATCAATAAACAGAGTCAGAGCTTTCATCAGCAGTTTCTTTAGATTTGCAACATCCTGAAGAGACTCCTCTGATATAGGGCAAAAAAAGGAATAATTAATTATTTCTAAAAGTGACAAAGTAACAAAACCACCAGCCTGTCCCTAGTGCTGTTCCAGAGAGCAACAGAAGACTGAAAAAAAATAATTTCATATTAAGAAAGCACGAAGGAACAGTGATGCCTGTTCAGTGAAGGGACCAGAGCAACTGCTGGACCCCAGTGAAGTGACCGAGGAACTGGAGAGAAACACACCTGGTGCGTTTGGGGCAGAGGGAAGCACTGACTGCAACCAGAGGAATGCAGAAACCACCTGGCATCACCTCTGGTTTGGCTGTCCTTCCAGGGCTGGGGACCTGCTCTGCAGCGTGTGCTCCTCAGCACTCACTGGGCTTAGGTGTCAACACCTTATTTTGCACAAACAAAACCCCCTAACACTTTTTTTATATATATATATATATACACCTTATAGAAAATGCTGTGTCACATCCTATTACAGTGAGGAAAACATGGATGTGACACAGAATCATAGAATTGCCCAGGTTGGAAGGGACCTTTCAGGTCATTGAGTCCAACCACCAACCCCACGCTGCCAAACCCACCCCTGACCCATGTCCCTCAGCACCACGTCTGCCCGGCTTTGAAACATCTCCAGGGATGGGGACTCCACCACTGCCCTGGGCAGCCTCTGCCAAGGCTTCACAACCCTTTCAGTGTAAAAATTTGACCTTGCCTCCTCCCGTGCCTGGTACCACAGGAACATTGTATTATGGTAAGAACCAAAAATGCCAACTCTTTGAGAAACGCCAGAGCAACCAGACAAACTGAGGTCCCAGCAGCCCCCAAACCCAGCAAACGGGACCCTCTTTCCAGACAGCAGAAGTTTAATGGGTGTTACTGGGACCAGGCAGGCAACCGAACGCCGTTTGCCCATCGCCTCCCCCTTCTCACACAAAACCCCCCGTGTTCCCAGGCCCGCAGCCTGCGCTCACCCCAGGGCTGGGACTCGATGAGTTTGAGCTGGGTGCAGGCAGCAGCCTCGTGGTTCTCCCCGATCTCCCGGCACATGCTGAAGCACAGCGCGATCATGTTGTGCTTCTCGCTGTCCCCGGGGCGGCAGCGCTTGATGTAGTCCAGCAGCGCCGTCTTCAGCGTCCCGCTCTGTGCGGGGGAGGAACGTCACAGCCACAGTTAAAGAGCTTTTTTTATCATTCACATTTTAGTGCCCACAAGCAAATCTCTGCTGGTACCATTTTCCAAACAGCGATCATCACACTCTGAGGTTTCTCCACACCCTTTCAAAGCAGAATGGCAATATTCTACCCGGGCTCAACTACATTATGTCAGGTAAGAATATCCAGCACTTATGCATTAATTTATTTACACACAAATGTCAAAACTGACACTTGTTTATGACTTTATTTATGTTACAAGAAAGCTGTAAATATTGATGAGTTTTAAAAACCCATGAAACTTTAACTGGAAGTAAAACCAAGGCAGGACATGGAAACTCTTAAGTGACATTTCCAGGCTTGAACTTTAAACGCTGCTCTCATTTGTAACGCTGAACTAATTAGAAAAAACCTGTTGAACTAAAACCAGCATAAACCCCAGAATTAATTGATTACTCTGAAATTTGACTAACACTCCCCACCCTGCAGTAATTAAAATCCCCAGATCACTACATCTTATGTAACTCCCAGTTTCTGGTGCAACCACAGAGTTCTCTGAAAGTTTTCTCCCCTTTACCCCCTTCCACCTACTGGGTCTAACTTCTTCCTCATGAGCACCTCGAAGTAGTGTTTCTCGTGCAGCAGCTCAAAGATGTAGGTCATCTCGTTGTACCTGCCAATGCCAGTCAGGAGACGGACCTGCGGAAACAACGGGGCTTAGAGACATGGTTTAGTGATGGTTTTTTTTTATCAGAGTTAGGCTGATGGTTGGACTAGATGATCTTAAAGGTCCCTTCCAACCCAGACAATTCTATGATTTTATCATGTTTCATCAGCAGCTGAATTACTCTGATATCCCTCTTCTGATGTTGCCACCTCACCATTCCACTCCCTCCACCTCTGCTTTTCCAGAGAAGCTTTCAAAGAGCTTCTGTGCCATAAAACCCATCCCCTGCGCACACCAGAGCAAACGCTTTCAGCTTCCAGGGACAGGCAGGACGAGGCCATCGATGGAGGTGACAGCTCTGTCCCACCACCCACCTCCTCCCCGTGCAGGAGCAAAGCTGTTTGCCAAGGTGCAGGGAACCTTCCCTTCCCCCAGCGCCCCGACAAACACGGGGGGCACTTGATGGGTCGACACGTACCACCAGCCCGTACTCCTCGTTAGGGGCCAGATGCTCGTCAGTGAGAAGCCGCGCTGCCTGGAGGACTCGAGTGATTCCTTCCATGTGGCAAGTCAAACTAAAGCAATTATGGGCCAAAATCAGCAATTCTGTAACTGAAGAACAGCAGAGTTCAGGTATTTCAGTTAATTAGCTGAGGAAGTTAATTACTATGCTCGTCTCTGCCAAAGTGATGCCATCTCTGCAGAGGACACAAAACCTCCCCAGCTACAAACAGCAGAAGGGGATCAGACAGGGGAGATGTCACGGTTCTGTCCTAAGCAATTTTAAGCACTGACAGTTTCTCTAACAGCCTGCGTTCAGTCTGGCTTCTCATCTGGGGGAAAATCTGGATTTTTTGGATCATCTTCCAAAATGTTACTTTATTCCACAAGCAAAAATTCCAACCTCCTCCCCTCGTTCGTTTTCCTCAGAGCTGACCTGCCCATAAGAAATCTTTTTTTTAAGGGGTTAAAATAAATAAGCAAATGATCTCATTTTGCCACTACCCAGTAGCAAAATGGTACCAAAGTACCCTGGTGATGTTTTATAAACCCAACGACAACACCTCCATGATATATAAAGCTGCACAGTGGAAAATGGACTTTAGTAGCAAAAGATCAGGAAGTAAGTTTAACAAATGGATAAAGAAAATGATTTCTAATTGTGATTAATACAAAGGAAGTCACAACAACCTCTTTCTGCAACACAGACCTACAGAAGTTCAGGTAACTCACTGACTGCACCCTCAGGTTACTCACTGCCTGCACCTCCCAGCTGCTGGCACAAAAAATCTGTATTTTGTTTGGTAAATAACCTCATGCAACACGCAAGCAGCTCAGTTACTGTGCACATACTAGCATCTATTCATTTTGTATTAAATTGGAGATCAGTAAGAGATGCTCCCATTAGTGTTGCTTTTATTCTTTGTGATTTTAAACCACGTAATGCCACGTTTAGTAAAGTGTTAGTTACATCGAGCACCTTTTGCCATCTACTTACTGCACGAGAGCTCCCCGCGGGGCACAGAGGAGATTCTGCCCAGGAGCTTCATGCCCACCAGCGTGTGGTCCTGGCAGAGCTTCGCCAGCTGCAGCAGCGCCTGACTCTCTGCCGCCGGGTTCAGAGCCTGCTTCTGTCCTACGGCCGCAGGGAGAGAGAGTGATGGCCCTGGTGCTGACTCCTCAGCAGAGATTAGCTACATTAAGAGAAAAAACCCCAAACCAACCAACAGAACTTCATCCAGACCGACCTAGGACTTGGAACCACAACTCCAAACACACTTTTGATCTTACTGCTTAAATTTAAGAATCAGATAGTAATTTTTTGCCAGATCAATCCAATGAAATCCTGCTCAATGCCTGTATTGCTACTGCAATTACACCTATAATTTCAGAAACCCAGGAGGCTGCTGCTGAAAAAAAGAACATTTTCCTCTTCCTAACAGAATTCTAACCCATCTCTTGCAGCAGCTCTGATTCATTCTCTGCCATGAACCGGTTCAACTCATGAACTCAACAGAAAACTCTTCTCTTCTGGATTTGTTTCCCTCTGGGTTAGTGGGGCAGCTCTTGTGAAGGAAATGCACCGAGTGCTCCGAGCCCCCCGCGAGAGCTGGGGAGCAGCAGGAGAGGGGGGAGCAGAGTGGGAGCCGGGGCAGGGGCAGAGGAGAGGACACCCAGACTCAGGAATCTCCGTCCAACAGCTCATTGTTTCTCATGGGACTTTGTTCTTCATATCGTGGCAAAGTGGAAATTACTCAAATAGAAAAGAGAAAAGTCCCCCAGGTAAATTCCTGCTGTTTTGAGGCACATCCCTCATTTCACGAAGTCAAAAAAAAGTCCCCCAGGTAAATTCCTGCTGTTTTGAGGAATATCCCTCATTTCACTAAGTCAAAAAAAAGAAGGGGGAAATCTTTTGGCCACACTTTTCACAAAGAAATGACCGTGAATCTTTCCAAGTCAGATGACACGGGGCTGCAAAGATCATGATTAAAAAAACAACCCCTTTTGTAAAAAACACTAAATTTACATCCATTAAAAAACCAACCTTAAATGCTGTAACACCACACTGGACACAAAAATAACTAAAAAGAAACATTTGTATAATACCTTACAGAAGGTGTACGAGGTTTACAAACCTTACACGAGGGCTGCCCAAACATTACTGACTAATTAGCACTCAAATACCCGGAGAGCAAGGATTGTTTTTCAGACACACAAATATCACACTTACAACCCAAAAACGCTAGGACACAAGCTCACACCTCCTTAGTACCTTTCCCCTCTGAAGATGCCAGTAATTCCTGTGTGATTTCTTCAGCCACGAGCTCCGCCACGGTGTCGGGCTGCAGCCCCTGCGTGGCGACGAAAGCCTGGGCCTTCCGGGCCCTGTCCGGCCGCCGGGACGACAGAATGGCCCCCAGCACCTTCTCGGGGTCCTGGGCTGACATTTCGCTGTAGGAGCAGTTCAGTTCCTGAGAAACACACGTGCACTTAGGAGACTGCACACAGCAGGAGCTGCAGAGCAGGACACACATTGACCCGCAGCGCTTCTTCCTAACGAGGCACGGTGGTGCGAGGGCAGCGCTGGAGGAGCAGCCAAAACCCCCCTCCAAACAACACAAACACAACCTGTCCTTGTGTCAGTCACCAGCACCTTCACCTGCTCCTCTTCACTACCAAAGCTCTCCAGACCAGGCTGGCACCTCAGAGCTTTGTGTTTGAAGCTGAATACCCCCAGAGCTGTCCACACGGACAGAGACACTTTCCTGAACCAACTATAAAGTTTAACACTTAAAATACCTAGAAGAAAGACCTCCTGAAATTAAGAACTGTGTTTCCTGCCTAAGTTTTACTGATGAGGTTCCTTTTCCCCTTCTCTATATACCACAAACTCTCGGTGAAAAATATATACTAGTTTTTACATTTGCTACATTTGGAAGAGGAGTTGTACTCTCTGTCTGTCACATAGTCCAAATTTATAAATCTACACATCAATTGAAAAACATACCTCCTAACACAACTATCAACTCTGAATTCAAAAGTATGGACATCCTGCTTCAGGCAAGAAGTTTATGGATGGTATAAAAGGGAACATGCCAGTCAAATGACTGCCTCTCACTAACTCAGACCTAGAGCCCTCACTCCAAATACTCAAAGCATGACAAGTTCTGTGGGAGAATCTCAGAACTTCTGTGATAAAGATGACATCTCAACATTTCATGCCTAGGAAGCATCTGGCCATTGTCCCACACCAAAGTTTGATGATTTCACCCTCTGAAGCTCATTTCAGGCACCCAAAGAGCACTTGCACCCTCCTTATCCTTCTCTCCATAAACTTCTGCAGCACAGCGTGACACAAACCACTTGTGTCTTCAATGATGGTACTAGATACCTTAGAAATACATACCTTGGAAAGCTCATACAAACAGAGAACCTGTCTGCAGTAGCTCCTCCCATGGACACATTCGTCTATGAGGACCTTCAGGCTGGTAACAACCTCATCATCTGGAGATGGAGCTGCAAGATGGGTCCAGTCTTCTAAGCTTGAGGCTGAAAACAAAAATACTATAAATTCCTTTCTCACGAAGACAGATAAGACCACAAGCCTTATGCTTGGAGCAAGACTCCAGAAATCTGTAGCAAATACATAACACTTTCTCGGTCTTTTAAAACTGAACTCTTGATATTTGTGAGGGTTTTGTTTGAGGGTTTAAGTTTTAGGATACAAACAATACGATAGAACACAAATGAGCCAAAATACCCACAACAGTATCTCAGATGTAAAATTTCTAGAGCGTAAGAGAGCACAAAGGCTCAGCAGTCTTCCTGGCGGCTTAGGCTTCATTTATTCTTTTCTACTCCTATTAAGCTTTATAAATATTAGTATTGGAAAGTCATGTTCCAGCTGACAGCTTTCTCATTCGAGCTCCATAAATACGCACTGAGTACTTTAGATATAAACATTATCAGTCTTGGCCTCGCTATTGATAAGAAACACTAAACCCTTTGTAATGTACAAAGAATTCAGAGAAATGTATTAATAAAAGCGTTTCCATGTTTCAGCTCTATAAACTCACGCTTTACTAGAGCATGTAAGGAGATAACTCACTGCCATGAAAACCTTATTTCCTCCAGAATAGTTGGGGAAATTAAGGCTGTAAAAAAGCAGAAGAGTCCAGCAGAAGCTGGGTGCTGCACTCAGTGGTGAGTGTTACTCACTGCTGGGGACTCTGCCAGGCTGAGAAGCGCCGCTTTCACACGTTGTCTCTTTTCTCTGGAGAAGAGCCTGAACGTCCGTGTGCAGTTTGTCTGGCTGGGCCTCCCCCGATGCCAGCGCTCTGCAGTGCAGCACCAGCCACACGTCTCTGCTGGAGAAATGGAAATACTGGCAGACGCGGCTGGCCTCGTGCACGCTGCCTTCGTCCAGAAGGCAACCAACCAGAAACCTGAGCGACTCCTCCTCCTCACTAGTCAAGGTCTGCTGAGGCTCTCTGAATGCCAGGCCCTCGAGCTTTAAGTACTTCGGTGTGTTCAGAGCAGGTAGCTTGGAAAAAGCAAACTCCTCAGCCAAGGTATCAAAGGTGAGATCCCCGTTCGCTGCAGCGTGGGAGGAAAACCTGGACCTGCCCGAGCCCTCGTCTGTGGACAACGTTCGTCGCGCGATGCGGCAGATCCAGATCTGCTTCTCTATTTCCTCTAATTCGTGGAGTGACAAGGAGTCGCTCTTGGCCAGCCAATGGCCAGCCAGGGTGAGCAACAACTGCCTCTCCACGATGCTGGTGATCTTCTCCTGAGCTAAAGATTCAAATACCGTGTTTGCCTGATTGAAAAAAAACCCAGATGCAGCTTCGCTGGAGATTGAATTTTTCATGAAGTTGTCATTACATTTTTTCCAGAATTCAGCCCTTGTCTGGTTGTGATGCCACTGTCCGATGTCTCTTAAATGATGCAGATCTCTTAGAACCTGCAAAATTGACAGAGGTTTTAAACAGTTTCCAAACTTCCAAACAGAAGTTTCCAAAAAAGAAAAATCCCACTGGACAGTCAGAATACTGAAAAAGTTAATTTAGATTAAGTGTCCCAATATGCAACAAATCCATCTATTTTTCTCATCAAATAAAACTGATTATATTGCAAGTAAAAACAGTGAGAGAATAAGGAAAGCCACACTGTCCTTTTCAGCTCAGCCCTTACACTCACCTTGTTTGGTGTTACTTGCATTAAAATCAAAAGTGATTTGAAGAAAAAGTTGTATTTCAGGAAGACTGAGAAGTAACATTCTCCATACTGCCAGCAACAGGAGTGAGGGGAATATCATTATTTAACTGTACCTCTTGGATAACCACGGTGTCCACGGGCAGTTCAGCAAGGGCTGCCACCTCCCGAGCCAGCGAGAACATCCCTCTCTCCTGGAGCTGCTCCAGGATTGAGCTGCACTCACTGCGAAACATCTCCACGCTGCAACTCGTTAGGATGGAGCGATTAATTGATATGGAGGAGTCCCTCAGGGTCTCACTGAGCGCACAGAGCTTCTTCACGTAAGAGCCTGTTTTTAAAAGAGTATAAAAAAATCAGCTGCTTCTTAAACCTGAGGAAATTCTGCTATGTCTTTCAGCCCACAACCCTGCCAGAGAAGGAGCACAGATTCTACACTCTAAAACTTTCGTGGGACTGAAAATAAGCTCTAAATCCATAACTAAAATACTTCTGTCGTTAATCTGTGTGCTCCTCATCACCACGTGCACGTAATCCTTCTCCCAAACAGACACACAGCTACATCCTCACCACTGCAACTCACCAGAAGGACCAGCTCTGGTTATATAAATTCTTATACAAAAATAAACCAGTATGAATACACTCAAAGTAAACATGTTCAGTCACTCCAAAAAAACCATTGTCTGTGGTCTTTAGATGAAAGCAGTAATACCACCTAAGAGAGGAAGCTGTATTTACCATCCAGTAGAAGGTTCTCTGCTGCAGCAAAGAGCTGTAGGAGCTTTCCCAGCTCATACTCGGTTCTGCACTGCTGCAGCATCAGCTCCAGAAGAAACAAGGCCTGTGACTCCAGCCACTGCACAGGTAGTTCTGAACCCGCTGCGCCACCTTCGCTTTTAAGCTGGGTAGAAAAAGATTTTTAAGTGTTGGTTTGTTTTTTTTTTTCTGCAAATACATTCTGTATTTTGGTGGGAAGAAAGGGAAGGCGGCACCAGCTCTGCCTCCTCCTTCACAAACAATGAGCTGCCCTTCCCAGGGGCACCGATCCCTCCTGGAGCTGTCTGACTTCTACTGCAAAGTAGGACATTTTATGACAGGGTGATCTTACTCCTGATAACCATGGGAGAGGTAAAAGGTCCAAGAAGCACGGATAGATAAAATAAATTGCTAGATCAATAGCTCTTATTATACAGCCGTGTCCTTCACAAGCATATCCACTCTGTGAGTGGCACACGGGGAAGGAAACGATCCGGTCTGTGCTTGAATTGCAGGAAGGAAACCACTAATGGCACAGAACGTCAGTTACTGAGATATTCAGGGAACTAGAAAACTCTGATGGAAAGGAAAGAACTGAAACAACTTGTGCAAACATATGTATGTGACAAAGAACACTGCATGAAAACACTTTGGCCCTCTTAAAACCAACAGCTAAATGGGTGTTTTTCTCTGTGTGCTGCGGTTGACTGAGTCATTTCCAAAGGAAAGTCTACACAATTTCTGACAACTACCTGAACTAAAGCAACAGCACAAACTGCTTCAGACACTTTGAAATTAATTCAAAAAAAGTTGTCTCTCTTGAACAGCTATTCCCTGTCAGTCACTGATTTAGCAGCTCAGTATTGACATGCCCTGGTCAATACAGAACAGAGAATATCTCTCTTGAACAGCTATTCCCTGTCAGTCACTGGTTTAGCAGCTCAGTGTTGACATGGTCAATACAGAACAGAGAATATCCCACACTTACTCAGCACAAATAACTCCATTTACCAGCCGTAGTCCTACTGAAGTCAATGCCAACCTCCAAACAGCAATCTGCTCATCTTAAACCCAAATGATCTAGAAAACTGAAGTCAATGCCAACCTCCAAACAGCAAACTGCTCACACCAGGAGGATGATACTGGATTTCAATCCACCCATATCAACTTAAACCAAAATGATCTAGAATAATGGCATTTTTAGAAAAATGTGGGTTTTGAATTGTCAAAAAAACCATTTTTGCACCAACTGCCAGCAATAAAAAGAATCTGCTGAAACCTCTCAGCTCCTAGATAATTCAAGGCATACCCTTCTCACTAGTGTCATATCTGACATTAGATATCTATCCCATTATAATAAGGGACTCCCTAGGCAAAGATATTTAGAGAAAATTAATTTGCTTACCTTTGTGAGACTTTCCTGAAACTTGTCTAGTTTGGTTTTAGCTTCATTGTATTTCTTCCAGTCCATACATAGCTCATACATCTCCAGGATATACAGTAAAGGGGAATCCTTTAAGACACAAAAATAGGTTATAATTCTTTCCTAAAAGTACCTCAATAAATGTAGAACTTTTCTTCCTCAGTGCTAGAACAATCAAGTTCTCACTTATTAAAACTGTGCAAGGCTGATGTATGATCTGCACATCTGCAGCAGCTGGAAGAACTTCCATTCAAAGATTTTTTCCCCTGAGAGGGATTTTCAGTGGGTGACACCCAGGTGAGCCAGGCCACAAACAGCAAGACAGAAGGGAAACCTGTAAGGCCCTCTCCTCTCCAGGACGATTTGAGATACACTCACATATACCACTAAAAAGACATTATCTTACCTTTAAAAAGAGCTGGAAGCCATTTAGAAGCGTTTTACTCTTTTGCTTTCTCAAAAAGACTTTCCAGAGAACTGACAGGTCGGGGAGATCCCAGCTGTGATTTTCTGCTGTGCTTTGGATGTGGTTTGTGGCCTCAGCTCGGGTAGCACCATCCGCAGTGGTAATGATCCAAACACAGAGACAATGAACAACGTTTGCATCCTGAAAATTACAAAAATGATGGCTTTATAATAACCAGAGATAAACATCACCTCATTATATATCTCTTGGCCAAGTGTGTCACACTATTCACAATTGCTACAAAACCTGGAAAAAAGACTTGATGAATGCAAGTTACATATCTATTATTTAACACCATTGTGCACAACAGACACTTTTTTGTTACTTCTTCCTCTGAAAGATAAATAACCTCATGGATACTCACTTGGAAACACGCTGCTAAAACACTCAGGATGGGAGCGTGCTCTCTCAGTCCTTCAGACAGAAGGTAACGTGAAGGGTTGGGGTTCCCCTGACACTGCAGAAGGATCTGGAAGAGCCCATCTGTGTTTCTGCCCTTGGCCACAGCGGCAGCTCTTGACCCAGTGCTCCCTGTCCCAGGGCACAAAACTGGCAACTTCTCCAATGCCAACATCAAGTGATCTCGTAAAACAGGAGTGAAATCTTGAAGGATAGGAATGACCTAGGAAAACAGCACCAAAAGCATCGGTATGGAGTGAGATCCAGAGTGAGGTCAGCTTTTCACATACCAGGAGGGAGAGAAAAGCAGAGAAGTTGAGCAATCTGGCTGTAAGAGGAGGACTATCATCATCGGGGGATATTGAGCATCCGGAGACAACTTCTCACTTCTTGGAAACTGATGAGGCTTCAATTTTATGTTTTTTCCACAATGTGATATTTTCTTGTTAAAAGAATCTGTTTTTTTCTTCCCTTTTTATATTTTTTGAACATCATAGACAAAGAACACTTTTGATAAACTCTCTCTTCCTTGAGAATCACAGCTCACCTGGGCTGGCTGGTAGCTGTACAGCTGGGTCTGGATGATGAACTGCAGCCAGTCGTTGGATCTGGCACATTCCTGGAGGTAAGACGTACTCAGCCCGATATTATGCAGCTGACAGAACTGCATCACCAGAGACCACTGCCTTCTCGAGTCACTAGATGTCCTGAATGGGATTTAAACAGCTTCAGCTGTAATAAGCTGGTATTTATAGCAGATGTTAACAACGTAAAAACTCAACATGTAGCCCCAGATCCACCGCCTGCAAATGGCAACACCAGCAGGTCCATTGACTTCAGACTGGGTCACCTTCCACGGTGGGAGCTGCCACCCTGGGGATGTTGCCACCCACCAAGGCAGGCACATCATCCTGCTTTACCAGCGCAGGCTTTGAAAAGAAGTCCCCAGTCATCACTCCTGAGTGCCCTGCAAGAGCTCCGGGAACAGGGAACCTAACCTGCTGATGGCACCTCCCCGTCCTTGCCAGGAGACAGCTAGTACTGCTACCATTTGAAATACCAAGATTATCTTCTAAATCCAAATATTGTTGTTCAGTTTACTGCAATAAAACACTCCATCTCAATTTGCCAGCATAATCCTTTAAATCACATTTTACTCACTTCTTTATTCCTTGATGCTCAACTGCGTCCCAAAAGGCTTCTTCTAAGGAGATAAGAAGTTCTGCTGCTGCTGCTTTTTCACCATCAGCCAACTTTGTTAACTTTTCAACTGTTTAAAAGAATGTATTACTATTTCTGAGATGCTATTTGGGATTAGGGTAAGGATGATATTTTCAAAAGTACCAGAATCAATAAGAAGAACAAATCCTATCAATGCAAATGTTTCAATAACTATGCCAAGTTGGGGCACCAAAGTGATGATATGTTTTTTGAAAAAAGAATTTCAACTTATAAATTGCATAACATTTTGTTTTAAATAAGCTCTACCTGTAGTTTTAAATAACATATATGTTTTTAGAACAATCAAGAAAATATAAATAAATGCCAGCAGTTTCCTAGTTGGAACAAACTAACACCCATGGACCTACAGTTAGAAATTCAACTTTCTAAAGTTATTCCTAGGGTAAATTCAATTTCCTTACAGCTTTAAACATTGATTTCACTGCAGCTTAAGACAGTTTTCAAGTATGAAAGAGAAAAGAGATTTGGTAAGTCCATTTGTTTAATCCTCTAGTTATATTATTACAACATGTAAAAACTCAACATGTAGCCCCAGATCCACCGCCTGCAAATGGCAACACCAGCAGGTCCATTGACTTCAGACTGGGTCACCTTCCACGGTGGGAGCTGCCACCCTGGGGATGTTGCCACCCACCAAGGCAGGCACATCATCCTGCTTTACCAGCGCAGGCTTTGAAAAGAAGTCCCCAGTCATCACTCCTGAGTGCCCTGCAAGAGCTCCGGGAACAGGGAACCTAATCTGCTGATGGCACCTCCCCGTCCTTGCCAGGAGACAGCTAGTACTGCTACCATTTGAAATACCAAGATTATCTTCTAAATCCAAATATTGTTGTTCAGTTTACTGCAATAAAACACTCCATCTCAATTTGCCAGCATAATCCTTTAAATCACATTTTACTCACTTCTTTATTCCTTGATGCTCAACTGCGTCCCAAAAGGCTTCTTCTAAGGAGATAAGAAGTTCTGCTGCTGCTGCTTTTTCACCATCAGCCAACTTTGTTAACTTTTCAACTGTTTAAAAGAATGTATTACTATTTCTGAGATGCTATTTGGGATTAGGGTAAGGATGATATTTTCAAAAGTACCAGAATCAATAAGAAGAACAAATCCTATCAATGCAAATGTTTCAATAACTATGCCAAGTTGGGGCACCAAAGTGATGATATGTTTTTTGAAAAAAGAATTTCAACTTATAAATTGCATAACATTTTGTTTTAAATAAGCTCTACCTGTAGTTTTAAATAACATATATGTTTTTAGAACAATCAAGAAAATATAAATAAATGCCAGCAGTTTCCTAGTTGGAACAAACTAACACCCATGGACCTACAGTTAGAAATTCAACTTTCTAAAGTTATTCCTAGGGTAAATTCAATTTCCTTACAGCTTTAAACATTGATTTCACTGCAGCTGTAAGACAGTTTTCAAGTACGAAAGAGAAAAGAGATCTGGTAAGTCCATTTGTTTAATCCTCTAGTTATATTATTACAACATTAGGCTGAACTTTACTAAATATTACACTGAGCCTTGAGCAGCTTTTGACAGTGCCCATTGGATGCTCCCGTGATTCTGGCTGCATGTCATATTCCTTATATTATTACAACATTAGGCTGAACTTTAATAAATATTACACTGAGCCTTGAGCCTTCCTGACTCATTTGCTATGGTTCAAAATGCATCTTCAAATTAGTAAGAAGCAGGAAAAAAGAGCAAAATTCTTTGCTCTTCAATGGACAGGATGCTTTCACTGCATTCCTGAGAAGTCAGGCGCCACCTTTCAATCCATCCCTGGTTCTCTTCCCACTAAAACCATAGCACCCTATGCTAAAACAAACAAAAGACACCCTTACCCAAAGCTTCTTTGATCTGATTGTGCTGAGACTCTTCACTTCTAGTTTTGTAACTGAAAATGATGTTTGCAACTTTGATATCGACCCTGAGTTTGAGGCTGTCGAGACCGAGCAGCTCCAGGAAGCACACACAGGCTGCTCCCACCGAGGGGACGCTGAAGGAGGAAAAGGCCAAAACACAGGCTTCCTGTCCTGCCTGCTGGATCCTGAGACAGAGGGGACACCACATGACACACAGGACTTTTAACCAATGGTCAAATGTAAATATTTGCCATGTAAACAAGTGCCTACAAGGTTTACTGAACTCACAGACTCTCTCAGCAGGGAAGATGTTCACACTGTGCTTAGCACGTGTGAGGCTTCATTCTCATACCTAAGTTTTTTTGCATAGAAATGATGAAAAGAAACATACAGTGACTAATGCACAAACAAGGCATTCTAGAAACCAACAGTGATTTGGTCTGATGTAACTTCTACTAATTTTGAATATACTTAATAGTAAATTTAATATACTCAAGCAAGATCTGTAATTTGACTGTATCCTTTTGAACACATGATTTTGAAGCTTCAGCCAGAAAATTTAATTCCTTCCATCTCCAGTACATTATTTGTCTTATTAATTCAACCGAAGAAGTCTTATTCTCAGGAAGTATCAAAGAAAATGGGCATTTTTTTTCTACAAAGGCTCTAGGGCCCTAGAAGAAAAGCCTACCTGCGTTTCAGATGACTGGAACGTTTTTCATTCCTTTCTTTCATTGTGGAGATTTTACTTAAGTAATTCAAAATAAAGCTCTTTTAGGTGATATTTGACCTCTATCCTACTCGATGCTAGACTATTGAATAGACTCCTAGGACACCTAAAACTCCTAGTGGTGCAATGCACACCACTCGTCTGCTCTTGGGAAGGATTAATATTACCCCATGTGCTAGATTATAGCTTCTAAAGAAGTAGTTTCAAGAAGACTTACAACTGTCTGGGGGATTTGCTCTTCACTAACTGCTGGACCAAAAATGTACCAAAAGCAAACGACGGACGTCCATGGTGCAAATAGTACAAGAAATCCAGTCGTTCCATTATAGCATATTTGTTCACCAGTTCAGGGGATGAGAAATGAGGAAAATCACTTGATGCATCTAGAAAGAATATCATCATTACCATGAGCTGATAAACAGCTGAATTAAACATAGAGAATGGCTTTCAGCTACAAACATGAGATGACAACCAAATACCTCTCCTCTTGTTCTAATTCAAATCTCAGCACACCCAGACCCCACTGAAATTCCCATTCTCATGGAACTCTAGATCACTTCTTAAGGCCCTCAACTTGCTTTTAAAAGAAAATGCTGTTTTTCTATCTCATAACACATTTAGAAAAAATTCTGTCTTGTGAAGACCTTAATGGAAAAAGGTAACCTCTCTAGGATTTTAATTTCAAAACAAAATTTTACTAAATTACAATGGGTTTTTTGGTAAAAGAAATGGCCTTTTCAATTAGTTTATCTCCCAAATCATTCCACTGGAAGCTATTTCATCCTAGGTGCTCGGGCTGAAAAAGCAAGTAAAACTAGAAAGTAACATACCTGATACAGCAAGAGTGTTTGTTGACTGCCAGCCAAATAATTTAGCGGGATCAAAGGGCACTAGTGACTGAAAGATTAGAAACAAAATATATTGAGACAGATTCAGATTTTCACATCAGACCAGACTAGAGAATATTTTAGGAGCTGCAGCAGCAGAGACTGAGGGCTGGATCTCGCGCAGCGCTCTCAAAGGCACACGTTGCTCTGCTCCACGGGATCAGAACACAAACAAGTGCCAGGAAAGGCTTAGAGTTTGGTCTAAGGAAACAGGGAAAGAACAAGCTTAAGTTCTTTGCTGAACTGTGATCTTAGCAAAGCTAACAGTCTCCTAATAATGAATAATTCGTAGCCATTTCTTCCAATTTTCAGTTTATCTTATACCACAGGTCGGAAGTAAAAGGCATTTGCCCAGAAACGTGTCATGACATTTCATGAGACACTATCCTTTAATTCTAAATTTCAATTTCCCTTAGACATTAAAAAAAAATCATTTTTTAAATACTAAACAACCTGCCCGCTGAGCACTGCAAGAACTTCACTTCTCTGACACTGCAGGATGCTGAAGTTAAACACTGTGATGCCTTCCCACATCTCGGGGAGCAGGGGGAAGCCGGACTCACAGGTACCATTCCAAAAAACTGTTCAGACTGAAGCTATAAACTTTAACTCCAAATTAAGGATTCCAAGGAAACAGCACACGGTCCCCACCCTCCAGGCTTTACCTGCAAACAGGCTCCTCTAAGCTTACTTTTGCTCTGCCAACAAGCACCACTGAGAAGCATTTTGTGTACCTGAACAAGGTGGTAGAGAGAGATGTCCGGAGGCAGAATTCCATGGGAAGTACAGGAGGGAAAGAGAGCGGCTTTGAGTTTGGGGTAAGGAGTCAATGCCATTTTTAAGAGCTGTGGATCAACTTTCTTCAGAGGCTTTTCCGTATCTTCATTCTGAAGAACCTGCATTTGCATGGAAGCAGAAACATTAGGAAGGAGAAACCGCATTAAGAAAATAACGTTCCGTATCTTCATTCTGAAGAACCTGCATTGCAAAGAAGCAGAAACATTTCATTAGGAAGAAGAAACCGCACTAAGAAAATAACAAAACAATGTTTGAATGTGTCAAACAAATGAGCTCATGGGAATTTGATATATTGCGACAACACAGAAAGTATCATTTTCTTTCCTGGAAAATCCTTTTAATAGACGTAACTTAAACAGCACCTGGTGTTTTAGGTTACTGGGCCATGTGTCACAAAGCTATCTGCATTAATCAATTCTGTTCCAACATGTGCTTCACCAAGCATTTTTCTTTTTAAAGTCTAATAATTTATAATGTGCTCTTTGATCTTTACAGCACAATGCAACTGGTTAACAATGGAACCAGTAAGCTCAAGTTTTTGAACTGGTTAACAATGGAACCAGTAAGCTCAAATTTTTATGTGCCTAGATTTTCAGCCTTTAAAAAGAAAAGTCTGGAAGGTAAATAACACTGATTCAGCTCCAAGCAGAAGAACAGCCCAGCGAGCCAATGCTTTATTTACTTAAAGACTACAATCGACTACAAAAGGGGATAGTCAACACATACAGAAACAGTATTTTAAGTTTATTGAAAATATTTTTACAAACTGAAACTATTTGAGGAACACAAGTGCCTACAAACTCTCTCAGCTGTAACTGTTATGAAGGAGTTAAATACTCCAGCTGGCAGTCAGGGTGCCTTGCTATTTCTACACTACATCACCTCCTCCTCCACTCGCTTCACCTGGCCAACTAACACCAAAACACACAGCACCAAAACCACAGTGTTATATGAAAAGAAATTATACGATGGCATTAATGTATTTATTTTTATTAACGTACTCCTTGGAGTTTTCCACACCCTGTAAGAACTTGTCCCCAAGCTGCTGGCAGTACCTGGTCAATGCCCCCGGGCGCGTACATGGTGGTGGCCAGAGCCAGGAGCGTGCGTCCCTCCAGCAGCATGCTGCTCACACTGGCTTGGTTGCTGGGAATCAGCATCTGAGCATTTGCCAGGCTGGCCTGAAAAATCATCTGTGGATCTTGACAGAAAAAAAGTCAGATTTAATTTCACGCAAAACCCAATATTAAATTGTTAAATCACGCATTAAAACTGTTCTGTGACCATGAAAAAAGCTGAAATTTTTACTTTTTGTTGTCAATCGTGATTTTTCTCTATTTACTTATAAATACAGATAAGCTGTCCTAGATTTTACCAAGCTTTCCTGATTTCAAACCACAGTTCTACCTACACAGATGGATTTGGACTGAGTCCCAGTGTTTAGTGCTGTATTGCTTCAATTTTTTATCCTGTGCTGATCACATTTGCTGAAAAACCTTCAGTAGGCTTATTTTTGTCATTTGTTAATGTAAGACTTGACAAAAGATGAATTTTTTTTTTTTAAAAAGTTAAATGAGTTAAGGACTGTGCTGATCACATTTGCTGAAAAACCTTCACTAGGCTTATTTTTGTCATTTGTTAATGTGTGACTTGACAAAAGAAATTTTTTTTAAAAAAAGTTAAATGAGTTAAGGGGACAATTTCTAGTGATTTTCAATGACAGTAAGAAAAAAAAACCCAGCAAACAGATAATCCAAGGGGCAGAGAAGTCAAAATGCACCACAGGAACTAGAGGAAGTTTTAATTTTAATAGTGTATGCATTATCTTATGAATTCTCCTTCTGTTCAACCTGTTGGGAATATAATCAAATTGGAGGCAATAATGATCATACACAAAATAATTCTCACGTACCTACAGCCTCCAAATCTTTATGTACAGATTAAGTAGGAGTTATAATTTGCATTTTAGAGGTGAGGAACTGAGCACATGTCAATGATTTGCCACGGTCAGAAGCCAGTTTGCAGCAGAGCAGAGACTGAAGCCCACAGACATTGTACCCAGGCCAGGCTCCTACCTCGGGGGTCGCTGGCAGCCCCTCGACACCGCACGAGGAATTCAAACCAGGGATGTGCTTCGTGCAGCTCCTTCTTATCCAAAATAGGGCAATTTGAAGGAGTTAAACTGGAAATGAGAAGAGCAGCAGCACAATGAAAATAGGGTATTTATAAGCATCCTCTGCCCCAATATAGCACTGCACTAACAATTAGGAGCATCTGATTAGTGTTAGTGACTTATTTCATCCATTCTCAGGACAGAGCCCAACCACAGCCCCTTCTCTCCAGGACACACGAAATGAGAAGAGTAGCAGCACAGTGAAAGTAGGGTATTTATAAGCATCCTCTGCCCCAATATAGCACTGCACTAACAATTAGGAGCATCTGATTAGTGTTAGTGACTTATTTCATCCATTCTCAGGACAGAGCCCAAGCACAGCACCCTTCTCTCCAGGACATGAGGCTTCAGCCAACGTGGCATCTCAGGCAGTTCCCTTCCTTGACATTCTGTTTCTGTATTTTCTTGCTTCCGTAAATCACAGTAACGGTTTCCAGCCTGACAACCCCAAACACTTCCCAAAGAAGGGACTCGATTCACAAATACCACTCTGCATCATCTTTTATGCAAACTAAAACTGATTATACAAACAAAACAGAACAATAAGATTTGTTGGTTTTTCTCTGGCCTGCTTTTCCCTTCTTATGAATTATACAGTTAGTCTGGAGCTACTGCTAAGAAATTTTAATTGCAGAGTATTCAATATGTGGGAAATACTCAGATAGTTACAATACCTACTATTTCTTTCTCCTTCAAATCCCAACTAATCCTAATTTAGATGGAAACTAGCAACTTCTCTATTTGTGAATGTATCAAGAATGAACTCATACCTCTGCTCAAGTGAGAGTTTCTGAAGAGTAAGCTGGTTTGGCTCATTTAAGACCGTATTGCTTATAACATACTATTACAACTATAACAATTTCCTTTGATGACTGACACACAAATAAATCTTGACAACCTGAAAGCTTCAAGACACAGCATGAAACCTAACAGTCTGCCCCTCAGTTTTTCATTAAATGACACTGTTGTGACCAAAGTAGTCTTCCTCACCAAACAGCAAGGGCCGAGGAAAACTCTATCAAAATTGTGCTTCAGTGTTTAAATCTGCATGAGATCTGAGAGATGAAAAGCGTTCACCGAGGAAAACTCTATCAAAATTGTGCTTCATTGTTTAAATCTGCATGAGATCTCAGAGATGAAAAGTGTTCGTACCTGTAATAGTCTAAGTAAGTGTACAAGAGATACTGCAAATTATGCTCTAAGCAGTGAAGGACAAAGCGAGCGTGGAAGTCCAACCCACTCACGGCGCTGTAGTTCGGTACGGGGTGAGGAGTTTGCAGGACTCCCCCAAGGTAAGACAGTCGTTGGAGCAGAAGTTCAAAATCTTCCAATTCAGAAGAGACAAAAATTCCCTTTCTATCAGAAAAGAGAAAAAGCACATGCCCTGATTAGACGGTTATCTCTTTATAAAGTTTTGAAGAGTGTTTTCAGTTCAAAATCATAGAGCAGACCTTTCCTTCCAGGGGAGTGCTTCACCACCGAGGTGAACACGTGCCATGTTTGACAGTGCTCAAACAGTATCGTAGTTACTACAGTTCACTGCAGAAATGTTAAATGCTCTCAGTCTAGAATTTTCTCCCTGGCATTAAAATGGGCATTGGGAATATAATCACTATGAAAGATCGAAGAGCTGACAGGGGATTTCTGTTGCTCTCATGTTTCTTACTGTTTTCAGATAATGGAAAGTGCAAGTACAAGACTAAAATTAAATTTATTAATGGATTTGTGCTGTTTCAAAAAAGGGCACTATGTACAATATAAAAATTAATATGTATCAAAGATTTTATTAATATGTATTTCTATAACTATCTGATTTAGGCTTCCCATAACGTAGAAAGTTAGGACAAGGCACTAATGGCCCGTACCTCGCCAGCTCATTCAATACATCATTTCTCATGGAGCTGCTGCACAACGTGCTCCGGTCGACAACGCCTGGAGTCAGAGGGGGCCAGGGAGCCTGCCCACGCCACGGCTGGTGGGGCTGCCATTCCTCAAGCCAGGAACAGATATTAGGCCAGTCGTGCTGGGCTGTCAAGTGCATCCAAAGCACCTCAGGGTTACACGTCTTGAGGTCTGCGTTTCAGAAAGGGAAATGGATGAAACCGGCACAAACAAGCACTGCTATTTCTTTACACCTGTACGTAGTTTTAATGAGCAGTTGCAAATCCACAGCTGAGATGAGGGACACTGTGACAGTCTGTTAGAGCTTCCTGCTGGAGAAGCTCAATGTGATACCACAGGGTAAAAAGCTTTCCAGAACATAGCAGGGTACAACATTTACAAGTGGCCAAGCATAAGACAATTCCCTTTCAGCAAGTTCCAAGTTTTTCTCTACAGGAAAATCACAGATCCCTGTGCGTTCACCCCTAGGATGAAAACACCCAGTTTACCCATTTTCACCGACACAAAAGAAGTGACCTACTGTGGTAGCACACACCTTTCATTACATCAATGCCACCCTTACACAACTGCAACAGACCACGTCAAAGACAGGTTTTTAATTCACAATTCAAGCCCTTAGTCCCAGCACACTTGCCTTGGCGTGGTTTTTTGGGGAGAAGGATCATTTCCCGCATCAGCTCATCCCAGCACTGAGCCCAGTTGAGCATGACTCTGACTCTCCTGTTGTGAGCCCCACGTCTATCCCAACTCAGCAACGAGTCCAGAACAGCCCCGTGCCTGGAAAAGTCCTGCTCCTTTCTCCAGTTCTGGAAACTGCAATGAAGTGTTGCCTTAGGACGTTTTCTAGTACTCTTTTAGAAAAACAGTCAACAATCTAACAAACAGGAGATGACGAAAGGGTCAACAAATTCTGAAGTGGCGATTTTCTAGAAGTGGCAGAGGGACTTACTTCAGCTAAAAGCTCGAGAGTTCATATGAGAGCAGTGAGTCATTTTTCCAAAGCTGACATAGCAAATGATAAGTATCATTACATTTTTACAATTACTTAATTGTAAAATGATTTTTCTAGGTTACTTTACTTTGCTATATTATGGATATCATCTACCAAAAATAGAGCAAACATTCCATCTGAACATGTTTCATTTGATTAATAATTCTAATAATATCATTTGTCATTAAAAATATTTTCTGGTGATGATGACATGAACAGGAGACCTCTGTGACACTGACGACAGTATCTCATCACTCACAATAATGAGAAAAACAACCAGTTCCCACCAGTGTGAAATTAACGAAATCACAGAAGACTATTTGTTACTGCAGCAAATCATAGGGAATGCAGAAGCCAGCATATTTTAAATAATTTTAATGTTATTAATAATTAAAACTGATAACCCACATTACCTGGAAAGAGATTGAATCTCTTTATTTTCGTGGAAGGATTCCGAGTAAGAGCTTTCAACCTGATGCACAAAGTCTATCATTTTCTTCTCTTTTTCAGAAAAATAATTTTCTTCTCGTAAAACTTTCACCTTTAATTCAAATTAAAGTATTACCTCCAATTACAATTTTTATCTACTTATAACATATTAAATTTGCAAATGATCCTGCAAGTGTAAAGAGTTAACTAACTGTAGGAAAAGATGCTGGAAGCATTGAGGTCAATACACTGAAATTACAGGAGGGCATGGACTTCATACTGTGTGCAAGCAGGTGAGAACTAGATCAGAGCCAGACCAAAGAAATGACATTTTCACCGTTTTTTCCTGCAGATACAGAAGAACAGGGGCACATCAATGACGTGTCTCAGCAACTACACTGTGAGGATGTGGGGACAAAACCTGTTTGTTCCCATTCTGAGAGTGCATTCAATACAATGCTTCCTCCCAGCACAAATACACATCAGACTTCAGACCTGGGAACATCAACTAGACCAAAAAAAGCCTTTTCTACACTTACCAACAGATCTCGTACACGTTTATCAAGTGTGTAGAAACATATCTTACGCAATTCCTCCTTCACATCAAAGCCCTAACAAAAAAGAAGATACTCATTGTATGCAAACTCTGCATTGACAGAATAAACACACCTGCTTCTTCCCAAAGCACACAACCTTTAACAAACGTGCTCGTGGTATCCGCTTCACCAGTTCCTACAGATGTCACAATAACCCAGTGATCTGCCTGATGTCCCCAGCACGTCTGGATACAGAATATGTACCCTTGAATACCTGACTTGCCAGAATCACCTTTACGCTTTGCTGATGGTGACACCAGCCAATGCACACTCTCAAACAGGCTCCCTTGGTGCTCTGAAGGCGTTAGTGATCAAAGCAGTTCTTTAAAACATGGCAATTTTCACTGCAATGTATGTATGTGGTGGAATCAATACCTCGATAAGACACCTAAATGCTTCCCATACTCTTAGCATTCATCTATTTCATCAGCCACAGCGAAGTGTTAAGAACTATCAGCACCTCTCACCATGTTTCTTAAAAGTTCGGAGGCCTCTCGGGTGTTATCCTTCAGGAGACGGTCATAGACCAGATTCAGACCCATCTGAATAAACTCTGGGAGGCTGTGAGCAGGATGCTGATGCATTCGGAAGAAGATCTGTGCTTCTGGCATTTTGTTGCTTAATATGGCCTCAGCAATGACTTCCTAAAGGGGAAAAAATGGAACAACCCCATCTCACTTATCTCCAGTGTTACTGTCTTTATAATCCCTATATTGATTTTTTTCCCCAATAGTTTAAGGGCATTTGCATATTAATAATTTCCTTAAATATATTTAATAAGAATAGTAAAATAGGGATTACTTGTTTTTACCTCTGGTGTCAGTTTTTCCCACATATGGCTTTCTTCCAGGGCAGGCAGCTCTTCATCAGCATCACCCCCCGCGTGCACTGTGCTTGGTTGTGGCTGAGGATATCTTCTTAGAAATCTTCTAAGTTTAATAATGTAATCAGTTAAAATATCTGCACCCTTCTGCAGGAATTCATCGGGTTCTGTCAAGAGCATGCAAGGTATCAGTTAAACAGGAAGGAACAATACAGCATTTTTAATGCTTATTATTTCAATGCTTATTATGCAATGCTGGATAACTAAAATATCTGCACCCTTCTGCAGGAATTCATCGGGTTCTGTCAAGAGCATGCAAGGTATCAGTTAAACAGGAAGGAACAATACAGCATTTTTAATGCTTATTATTTCAATGCTTATGCAATGCTGGATAAGAGCTAATGGTCTGCATCTTTAACCATCAGGTATCCAGCAACAGCCTGGAAGTCCCATTCTGCCACTCTGTGCATCCCATAATTTCACTGAATTTCACTGAATTTCTAGAGTTGGAAGGGACCATAGAGATCATCTAGTCCAACTCCCCTGCTGAAGCAGGATTGCCTAGAGCTAGAGCATGTTACTCAGGACAGAGCATGTTACTCAGGACAAATAATGATCCTGTTGACAGTACCCTGTCTGACCTAAGCACCTGATCATATTGTCTGGGCTAACACAGATACTGTATCCAGATTAATTTCTCATGTTTCCCTTAAACAACATCTCTCATTCCCTGAACTCCAGTGCAATCGTTGTTAGTTCTAGGCAACTTTAGGCCTGAAATTAAAAAAAATTAGTACTTTTTCTTCCTGATCTAAACAATGACACGTGACATTACTGCGTATCATCTTACCCTCTGTGTGCACATAAATGTCTTCAAGTTGCCTGCTGAGGAAAGTCAAGGTGAGGTTTAGCAGCTGCTCCGAAAAGTGTTTACTCTGAGGCTCCAGATCGCTTTCTCTGATTGCTGAGCACAGCAAGTTTAGAGCTGGCCTCAGCTCTTCCAAATCTGCAATATTTACATGAAAAGTTAAAACATTTGCATTCCACCATATGGCTGGTCACATAAATTTGAGTTAAAAGTCATAGGGATATGCTGCAAAAACCCTCTAAAATGTGTCAAACGTTGTATGTAACATGCTTTGCCTTCACACCAAAATGCCTGTGATACGTGTGCTGGTATCAGAACACGACAAAAACCCCACACGTTATGCACCATTTCTCTCTTATTTTCCAGAATTGGAAAGTTGTACTAAAGCATCATCCAAACACACACAAGCACAGGCATTTCAATCTGCTTTTACAGACACGCAGCCATAACTAGAAAGGCAATGAAATTCAAACCTCCCTGCAGCTGGAAGTAAATCACTTACTTTTCAGATAAGACTGGGATGTGCCCTCAGTGGGTTGCTCAGCTCCAGAGCAGGGGGCAGACAGGCTGAAAAGACCTTCTTTGCTTTTTAAAAACAAGTCTACTGTGTCTAGTTGCCGATTTTCCAAACCTGCCTGGACAGACACACGGTAGAACAATTAGAGCACTGGAAAAGTGCAGAGACACAATGAGGTTGGTTTTGTGGTCAGTTATGTTACAAATATTTTATCACCTATTGTTAAGGGACACCGAGCAACATTTGGCAACTTGAAGTTCTCCTCTTGGATTTACAAGAGTGGTATGATAAAAACAAAAAAAACCAAAACCCAAACCCGATTTATTTTAATATTTGACATTATGCAAGAGGACAAAAACTGCTGCAGAAATTGGCAAAAATGCCTCTAGGTCCAATTAAGAGGGAGTTTTCAGTACTGCTTAGTTTAAAACTTTTTTTTTTTTTTAACGTGTGTTAACTTATCTGCAGTATTTCTTCTTTTGTGTTACTCACCTGGGTTACTTGGATTTCTTACTGTTTATTAAATAACTAAACCACTACCTTTTGCCCCTAGGTTACTGAGGCATACTCTTAATTGTGTCTAAAACCACCATTAACATTGTGAAACTGCATTCACTACTGTAAAGAAGTATTTTTGTTACCTGTGAGACACGAAAGAGATTTCTTTACCTCCAGCGCGTGTATCGGAATCGAACATCGCTCCCATCCGTTGAGATGACAAACAGAGTCCACGACTCCAGCGCTGCCATAGATCATCAACCGATTCAAAAACTCTTCCTGAGTTAAGCCAAACAGGACTAAGGAGAGACCATGCTCTAAATAAAAGGAATAAGCCATAATTAAAAAAAATATAAGCAAGTTGCTTACATAGGAGCATTTCCATATACTGCCTCTCTTCCAAAATGCTGACACAAAGCTGCAGGGGATTTCACCTCGGCAAGGACCCATTAGAAATGATACACCCCCCTCACCCCCCTCACCTGTCAGGAGCAGGGAGAGCGGCGCCCCTTCACTGCAATCCACATACACACTGCTTTGGCCAAAGGGGTAATACGTCACGTCTCGTGACTCGAAATCCCAGAGAGCAAGAGTCAATCCTTTCTCCTTCGTTAGTACCACAAACAGGGCTTTGACTCCAGTGACCAGTTTGCACTCCAGTTTCACCACCTCCTGTGGTGCCTCGACGGGGATTTGTCTCCATCGCTGTCTTGTGTCTCTGAGGTTTGTGCCATCACGCTGTGCTGGTTTGGAAGGGGCCCATGTTACAGCCCGTGGAACAAAAGCCACCATCTTCTCAGAATTTTCATAGATTTCAGGGTCGTGATCTTCAAGATGGGTAAAAAACTGATACCAAGGTAAATTCAAGTCATTCACCAAATCTGGAGAACCTGGTTGTCTTCTCCTCACGGCATCAGCCAGCGAGGCCAAGTGTGCCTTCCAGGACCTGGGGTGAAGAAGGAAGGTGTCTATAGTACCAGGCATTACACCAAGAACAGTGCAGATTTCAAATAATATGCATTTTAAGCTTATAGATTCCATCCAGCATCTTGCATTTTAACCGTAATGTGTCCTGTCCATTTCTACTAAAACACTGTTGGCAGCCGAGCGGGATGGTCACACTGCATTAGATGACAACAGCCAGGAACTTGGAGTGGTTTTACTAGCAAAATTTTCTTTTCCTCACAGAAAATGCCCTCATCAATTAAAAAAAAATATTGTAGAGTGAAATTAATTCCAGAATTGAGTATTTACTACATTTACATCAAGTTATAATTAACATATTTTATTAGTATTAATACCTCTACTACTAAGGGTCACAACACATTTAAAATGTTTTACATGAACACAAAGAATTTGGGGCTCTACCCACACCCATCTGTGCTAAACACACAACGAACTGTAAAGCAACTGGAACACAAAAATCTGTCAACACTGGTTCAAACTAACAGTAACACCCCAAACAGTACAGAATTACTATCTGGAAACTGCTTGATGACACAAAAAGTGGTCTCAGCCCATCTCCTCACATCATCCCAACATGCAAAAGATTGAAAGCAGAATGAGCTGATTTTACTTGCCACAACTAAAATTAAAAATAAAAAATCAGTAGTTTATTAATCAATGATCTAAAGGAGGCATATCCCAGCCTGTTTTAGAAAGTATTTTGATTATGTACCTGTCTGTGCGGAAAGGCGAAGGCAGAAGCTCCATGCTGTAGGCAGAGCAAGCAAGGTCGTCCTCATCGAGTCCTTCGGGAGGCTTCACTGGAAGGTTTTCAGAATCCCTCTTACACAGCAAATGCCCCGGGAACTGTCTGTAAAGAGGTAAATAAATATTAAATTTCACCTCCCTCATAAAGGATTTAAGATTGTTTTTTTCTCTTCATGTTAAACTCCTCCAGGAATGAAATATGACAAACTGGGAGCTACCAGAGAAGCCGTTTTCTTGCAGATGAGTAACATCCAGAAAGATGTACCCAGGTAAGCCATAAAACCTGGTGCCATTCCCTTTGAGGCGGACACCACCTCTAAATTACAACATAGCCCTAATTTATCAAGCCAAATCAGTAAAGCTGTATCAGAACAGTTTAACAATCCCATACTCCACAGTATTCCTAAAAGGTGCTACCAACCATGGCTGGTGCTAATTGACAGCACGTACCCTCATCTTCCTGAAAAAACAGAAAGTCCAATACAATGTTTTTCTATTTGTTAAAGTGACAGAGCCTGAATTGGAGCAAGTAATAATGGGCAATCTTTAAACAAATATGCAATTTCCTCTCTACCACAAAGCCAGCACTCCAAATAAGAAGCTGACAGCATCTCAACTGTTACAGAACCAAGATCAGCCATTTTTTAAAGCTAGTTGTATACTCAAAACTTTCATTTTGGAGTTCTGCTGCAAAGCTACCTGAAGTACACGTTGAGATCCACAGAGCAGGCGGAGTTGGCAGAACTGAGGACCACAGCGACGCTGAGGTCCCGGGACACCGTCAGCGCGACGAGGGGCGATGTGATGGCTGGGCTCCTGCCGTCCTGCGCGTCCCCCTGGCACAGCCCCACGCTCACCTTTGCTAGATTCGCACCATCAAAAGAGTCAAACACATCTTTAAACAGAAAGGTCAAAGAAAACACCAGGCCAAGACAGAAGAAATGACACTGCAGGGGAAGATGGCGAGCTTCTGTTAATTTTGTGCTGTCCAAGTCAAGCTCTGCGCAACAAAACGTTTAGAATTGATTGTTTTACAAAAGCCTGGGCCATCTTAACAGAGCTAACCTACACTGGGACAAATATATACTGACAGCTACACAATTAGGATGAAAAAAGTAACCTGACCTTATTGGGCTTTTTTACATACGTGTCAGAAGAAATTGCCAAAGAACAGGCTGAAGTTGAGCTCCCTGTGGAACAGCCTGCCAGGTCTGAGCTCCCTTCTTTAGAACACAGTGATCTGGTTTCCAGGCTGGGATTCCCTGCAGGTGTGTAGGTAATCTCTAAAGGTTCTAATTAAGAAATCTCTAAAGGCTCTAATTAAGAAAGGCTCGTGACAGCAGACTTAAGCCTGTGATACAGAGATCCGTGTATCAAAAATGCTGAAAATCATTACTCCAGTATGAAACAGATTTCCAGCAGCATGTTGAAAAACTACATTTGATACATGACTAAGTATGAAACAGATTTCCAGCAGCATGTTGAGAAACTACATTTGATACACGACTATTTGGCATTTTTCAGTACATTAACCACTAGCACTTGCTACACAACCCCGTTATTGGAAGCATCTTCAAAACAGACCCTTGAATTTCTTTCAAGGAATTTCTGCTTAACCCTGACAGAAAAGACAAAGAACTTTGTTCTTCTTCATTTACACCAAGAGCACGTCTCTGCTACAAAGGATACAAATCCAGCCAGAGCTATCCAAGAGGAAGAGGATGCCCCTGCAGAAGTGGGCATCCGTTATCCTCTCCAGAGCTTGTGGAGGCAAACCGAGGGTGAAGCAGTCACACGTCTCCAGGGGAGAGTCTCTCCCAGGAAAGGTAAGACGCACGACAATGAACTTATTGAGCAGAAGTACACATCTGCTGTTTTCAAATGACAGTATCCTCAAAGAGAAAACCGAAGACAGACCTGTAAATTTAAAGAAGTTTTAGGATTATAGCAATCTGGTTTGATTTGTAAAGATATCTCAAGAAAATCACAGCTCAAATTCTGCCACCTTCTTAATAAAAGCTGGGACTGGCAGGGGGGACAGGACAACAAGGAACTGTTTTGTTTTAAATCTCACTTTCTACGACAGAAGCACTAATTTTAGAACAGTCTCCTGAAACAATGCAGGCTTTTCAAGTGGACAGTACTATGAAGAACACAAAAAATCATCACAAAACACTACTTCAGTCAGCACTGAAAATGAAAACTACAATCTTTGGAAATTAGAACAGTTTAGCAAGGGAGAGTGTTTGAGAACATACAAAACATCAGAGGTCATGGTTCCACAAAGCCTCTGCATTCTGACTGCACATGGTGCTTGCTAATCATAGAACACAAACACCTAACTAGTCCTTCATTGGATCAGTGAGGAGCCCCATCTCTGCTCTCTCCCCATCAGCACCAACATTAACGGGAAATTTTGAGATAGCAGGGTTGCAGGAATATGCTTTATTAACATTTAACTTTGTATCATCCAAACACCTTCCTCTACAACGGTTCAATTCCTCTAACAATGTCATCTTTGAATGCAGAAATTTCTCTATTATTTTTCAAGTTAATACTGGGACTGGCCGGGGGGACAGGACAACAAGGAACTGTTTTGTTTTAAATCTCACTTTATATGTCAGAAGCACTAATTTTAGAACAGTCTCCTGAAACAATGCAGGCTTTTCAAGTGGACAGTACTATGAAGAACACAAAAAATCATCACAAAGCACTATTTCAGTCAGCACTGAAAACGAAAACTACAATCTTTGGAAATTAGAACAGTTTAGCAAGGGAGAGTGTTTGAGAACATACAAAACATCAGAGGTCATGGTTCCACAAAGCCTCTGCATTCTGACTGCACATGGTGCTTGCTAATCATAGAACACAAACACCTAACTAGTCCTTCATTGGATCAGTGAGGAGCCCCATCTCTGCTCTCTCCCCATCAGCACCAACATTAACGGGAAATTTTGAGATAGCAGGGTTGCATGAATATGCTTTATTAACATTTAACTTTGTATCATCCAAACACCTTCCTCTACAACGGTTCAATTCCCTCTAACAATGACATCTTTGAATGCAGAAATTTCTCTATTATTTTTCAAGTTAATACTGCTTCTGATCACTTTAAATCAGTGTGTGTTTGACACTTCATTAGTGTGCAGTCCTACGTACTGCTTCTGATCACTTTAAATCAGTGTGTTTGACGCTTCCTTAGTGTGCAGTCCTACAGCCTGGGTTTGTTTCACCAGCTGAAGCAGGATTAGACCTATAATAAATTCAAGCATGAAATACACATTGAAATTTACTCACTAATGTTTTTAACTTGAAGGTGCTTTTTAAGTGTATCTTCCTTACAACTGTGCAGGGAACTGGGGTTGTATTTTCCATCTTCTACAGTGAATTCATAGACAAACAGTTCATGACTTTTACTAAGAGCCAGTATTTTTGTCTTGTCTGCTTGTAGATCGTCTTCTGAATTCTCCCACATGAAGCTGAAGATACAACATTCAGTTTGTTTATTGACCTTATTCTCTTTCTGCATCACACACATCTGGAAGCGTGCTAACGATGGACAGTATAATTTTCACCTTTTGCAGTACAGACCCTGCTGCCACCCCCTCCCTCCCCAGTACTAGAACATATTTCATCCCTAGCAGAGACTGCAATGCAAGTGCTTGAGGAACTCCTGCTTCTTTTCCTCTCAAGAACACTTCTACCCTTGTGTGTTTCTTTCCTTTAATCATCCATGACACGTGCCACACGAGTGCTGCTCTGCTTCAGGACTCGGAGGAGGAGGAACACCGGCACTGCCACCAGGGAGAAGCAGAGCATATTGCCCATTTCTGTATGTTTTGCCTCCCTGTTGCTCTGGCTGAGAAACTCTCCAGGTGTCTGTCCCACACCCGCTCTCCAATGGAGGGGAGCGGGCAGAGAGGACACAGTGAGAAGGCAAGGTCGGATGGTGCAGACTAGAGACCATAACAGAGCTGGGATCACTTGACACTGCAGATGTTTAAACTGCAATGTGACTGTGGTTTTGACTCAGCATTAAAAACTACTAGAGCAGATTAAAAACATCTTGTGATCCCAGAATGTCACGCTCGAGAGCTTGCCCCTGACCAGCAGACAAGGAAGTCAAGCTCTCAGGGCACCATGACATTTTAAACTAGCAACTCAACAAAAGCAGATGAATTTTCTTTTTAATCTACTGTAATGAATACACCCACAACTAAACGAATAAGCAGATATAAATCAACGCCCCCTCCAGCAACGGGATTTTAAGCGGAGAGCATCCCGTGTGGAGGCAGGGTTTGAGACCCGCCTCGCTCTCCTGCCCCGGCCCTTCGGGGAGGGCCCTCAGCCCCCGGGGCCGCCCGGCGCCTCTCACCACAGCAAAGCGACCCCGGAGGGGGGCCCCTCCCAGTCCCCCCTTCCCCTGTTCGGCCCCTGCCACTTACTCAGCCCAGTCTCCCGGGAGGACGCTGCCCCGGGCCCGGCCGCCTCCGCTCGGCACCAGGGACTCCAGGTAGATCCCACCAGGGACCAGGAGGCTGCCCAGAGCGTCCTGGCCCCTGCTCAGCCGGACCCGGGCCGCGCCCCGCAGGGAGCCCTGCGCCGGCCCCGAGAGGGGCGCCAGCAGTACGCGCAGCTCCCGCTTCGCCCCCTCCATCCCCCTCAGCGAGGGCCGCCACCCCCGGCCTAACAGCGCCCCGCGCCCCGGCCCGCCGCCATCTTGGACGGGGGGCAGCCTTTCCTTCCGGTCAGCTGACAGCGCTGACCAGCGCCGGGGCGCGACTACAAGTCCCAGCAGGCACCGCGGCCGGGCGCTGGGGGGCAGTCCGGCAATGCGAGCTGGGAGTTGTAGTCTCCGTCAGACCAAAGTAGGCGATTGCCTCCCGGGGGCCTTTATGCCGATAGCGCTACCCGGGAGCCGGCAGCGGGCTGGGCAACCCCGGGATGCGCGGTGAAACTCCCGCGAACCCGGCGCGGCAGCACCCGTTAAACACGGCCATCTCCGCGCCCCTGAGGCATCCACAGCACGGTCCCGCCCACCGGCCCCCAGCAGCCTGTCCCCGCCTCTGGGCGGGACCTCGGCGGCCTTGCCCCCGCCCCGTGCCCGCCCCGGCCCCGCCCCTCCAGGAAGTCCCGGCGGCGGCGGACGGTGGCCGGGAGGGTCCGTTTTGCGCTCTCCCATGGCGGAGCGGGAGGATGTCGCTGGTGTTGGGGCTGCTGTCGCACACGCTGAGCAGGGTGCTGTGGTACTCCGGGCTGCGTAAGGGCTGCCATGCCCCCCGGAGCCAGGCCATGGAGCAGGACAAGGCGCTCGAGGTTTACGGTGACTGTCGTGGGGCTGGTGGGGGGTTCAAGGGTCGTCCCAGGCGCGAGGGGCCTGCGAGGGGCTGTGGGCCCGAGTTGTGGGGGAGCGTGGGGCTGTGAGGGGTTGTGAGGGGCCGTGGGGCTGTGAGGGGTCTGTGAGGAGCTGTGGGGCAGGGGTCTGTGAGGGGCCTGTGGCGCTGTGAGGGGTCTGTGAGGGGCC